CATTTAAAATTGACCAAGAATCTCATATTAGCGACTCTGATGTTGCTCAGTGCTTTAGGAACGAGAATTTGTGAGTTTGAGAGCAAACAAACGCAGTGAGCCTGTAGTGTGATTTGACTTGGGAAACACACGTATAGGCCAGCTGTGTGCAAACTATTCTGTGATGAACTACAACATGTTGCACATCCTGAATGTGTCTCGGTTTTGGAGCTTTAACCCAGTGTTTAGAGTTCATTATTTTGTTGTTGTTGTTGTTTTATGGACCGCTTGTGTCTCAGTTTGGTTCTTTAAAATACTAGTAACATAGTTATGTCATTATTATAACCTCTTTTTTTAGTCCAGTGTGTTTTCTTTCTGTCCTGTCCCCTTGTCTCAGGTCGCTGTAGTTAGTCTTGTTTCCCCGGTCTGGTTATCTTCATGTCTGAGTCAAGATCACATCTTAGTTTCTGTTCTTGTGTTTCCTGTTTTATTTTGCAAAGTTTCTTGTCGTGGGTGTGTGATGTTCACTTTTACTCGCTCTGTCTCATTGTCCCTCATTTGTTCCTGTCGTGTTTCCCACCTGTTATTCCTTAGCCTCATCACCAGCTGTGTCTCCCCTTCTTCTCTATCATGTCCCTGTGTGCTTCCTCTTTCCATGTCTTTTCTTAGATTATGATTTGTTTTGTTTTTTTTGGCTCCATGACACAGGTCATTTTTGTATTTTATTTCCCCTGAGTGTGCCAGCATTAAAGCTAAAGGTAAAAGGTCTGTTTTCCATGCTCTGCATTTGGGTTCACACTCTGCCTGCCACACAGCGACACACAACAGAGTGGCTGATAAATATTTGTCCTTTACGTTGTACATTCAATATCAGACATAAAGGACATTTTGGAGCAAAGTGTGTAGAGTAGTCGGTCTTGATTACGAGATCAAAAATTACAGCCTTTATTTAAGGTTACTGATTTTTGCACTTTGTCTTAAAATTCTGGGAGTGTCCAGGTATCACTCCCAGAATGAGAACCAGGAGGTGTAAGCATCTCTGCTTAGACTGCTGCACCCAGGAAGTCAAAGACCTTCTCGATGCTCCATCTATCCATCCAGTTAACCAGTCATTCCTCCTAACAGACCCCTCCCTTGTCAGATAAAAGGGCACAAAGCAGTGTGAGAGCCCTTAATACATTCTGTACATATTTGTGCATATGGTCACAGTAGTTTTTCTCATAGTTTTGTCATAATTCTAACAGAGCAGAAACAGGAAGAGTGGGGCAGTTGATGACAACTCGACAGCCTGCAAAAAGGCTTGCAAACAAGCGCTGAGACATAAAAAATGCTGTTTTCTTTTGCACAGCATAAAACAATGAAACTAAATTTAAATTAAACAAAAGTGTAGCCTGAAATCAAGTCTAACAGTAAAAGAAGCAGTACTTACAGGACGGTGCTTTTGTGTTACCTAACAGCACTGGATCTGTGGCCTTTAGTTTATGTTGCTTGTAACTTTTGTAGGCTTGTGCAGTAATCTGAATCTCCACCGAAACCCTACTGTACATGTGGAAACTGAATCCAAACGAAAAGTTATTTTATCTGCACACAGGCAGCTGCAGAAACCAAGGATAGCATGTTGTTCTCATGATACTTTTTTTCAAGTTTAACTGCAATTCTCCTGGAAGAGACAAGCATAGTCGTCGCAGTGTCCAGAGGTGAAGGCCATGCATTCAGGCTCATCACTAAATGGGAAAATCTTCCAAAAACCTGTTTAACTGTCGGGCATCATGAGAAGTCATTGGCAGAAGAAATTAATGATCCTTTTTAATTGTGGCTCGTTCAAAAGTCCATATATGACAAACCACAAGGAGGAACACAAAACAGGGATCCGTGACAAAAACAAGGAGCACGAGGGATGCTGGGAAAACACAGACCAGACAGAGAAGAGGTTCAACAAACTCTAACCATAAAGTCCGAGTGCTGAGATGAGCCAGTCTGAATTTCCAAGAAGGCTGACCGAAGTTAGTTCAATCAACTCTGAACACCGTCAGCTCGAGTTAAAGCCATCATCGGTAGAGCTCCAATACCACGATCCACCATGGCAACAGGTACATAAAGAGCAGAGCCTCCATTTAATCTAATGGAGCGAGGAATATGAATGTGTGCGCGTTTATCTTTAAAAAAAATAGTGGCGTGGAGAAAGAAGTCATTTGTGCACACCGCTCTGTCATTCACAGTATAAGATTTTCTTATTCTGTCTGTGCTCGTCAGTTCATTAGATAAAGCTGTAATCCTAATTTTACACTCGATTTTTACACTCAGCTGTAACCTGACAGGGTGACAGAAACTGAAGATAAAATATGGAGAAGCAGATGAGACACGGTTTACTGATGGACCCGTGATATTAGTCAGACCAAGTAAACAACATGAAAACACGGATCCATCCTGCCTTGTATCAAAGGTTCAGGCTGCTGGTGGTGTGATGGTGTGGGGGAAACTTTGGGCCTCTTAGTACAAACTGAGCTTCGTTTAAATGCTACGCTCTACCTGAGGATCAAACTGGCTTCTTGCACGATGAGTTCACTACTCAAACGGCCTCCACAGTCACCAGACCTCCATCCGACGCAGCACTTTTGGGATGTGGTCGTGGAACTGGAGATTTACATCACCGCTGTAGAGTCATAAATCTGCAGAAACTGTGTGTTATCATGTTAACATGTTAAAAAGATGAAGAAAAGGGCGCCTGACCCACTGCTGTCGACGTTGCTCTAACAAAGCGTTCAGCGCACAGAAGCTCAAGGAACACGGTTTCATGTTGTTTGGCACTTAAACTACAACATTGTGCAAACAGGTCACAGTGACTTGTGGGGAAATTTATTGCAAAAGAAATTCTGCTATTTGATTTTTATACTAGAATGACACAATTATAATCATTTTTTAAAAAGGGACCAAACATGAATAAACTTTAATCTGATTAAATGCCAAAAAACTAACAGCTTTGTTTTGACACAACAACAGAAAAAGGCTAAAAGCATTGGAAACAGCAAATGATGCCAAACCGTCCACTAAAAAGAATAATGTATGTACTAAAGCACAAACAAAAAGATTCAAAAAGCTTTGGTGACCCCACAGTGCTCGAATCCAGTATTTAGTTTGATATATCCTTTGAACTGACAGGAAATCGATATTTGGGTATAGAAGTGTAATCGCACATCATGCGCCCCTTCCAGATACAGAAACTACACAAAAGTAGCCAGACAGGCGCAAATTTAAGACTAAATATTTCATTTTAATGTGGAAATGAAAAACAGAAATACTAAAATCCCCCCCCCCCACACACACACACACACACCCACCCATTTCATTCCTTCACTCAAAGAGGGCTCTCCTCTGTGGTTGCCATAGTAATCCCAAAGCCAATAACAGCCCTAACCCTTTCCTCCTTCCTGCGAAGAAAGCCAGAGATGAAAATTGCCCCAATCAAATTTGCCCCAGCAAGCGTAGGTTCTCATTTCTGACGCCATGTCACACCCTGAACCTTGCACCCAATACCAGACCTTTAGCCTGCACTGTGTCTCCGCCATCATACCCCCACCCACCTCCACCCTTATTCAGGAGAGGACAGCATTATAAATCAATTTACAAGCTGGGAGAGACATTGGGCAGACGATGGAAACGAACGATGGCAGATGAAGCATATTGGAAAACATTTTCTTTCCCCTCACTGTGAGCGGGTGAATGCGTTGGTACCACCTCGTGTGCAGCTGGCCAAGAGAAACCTAATCGTATTTTTGCGTGTGCACGTGCGATGAATTAGAGAAAGGATGGGAATAATAAGGAGAAAGGAAGGGTTTGTGTGAGTCTGCTGCTTGTGTGGATTTCTGAATAATAACTAGTGGAAATGTGCAATCATAGCTGGCAGAGCTGTTTGCGCTAACTCAATTTCTGAATGAGGTGGTGGAGGAGAGGATACAGAAAGTGCTTACACTTGTGATTCTCCATCAGTCACTCTGACACCAGCTTACATGGGTGGATATGTGTATGTCAGCTTGGTGTGCTGTGGCTTCTGTGAATCTCTCCTTAAATCATGAGCAGATGTTCTAGAGCCGAAAGGAGAGATGCTAAAAATCGGACCTGTGACCACCGAGACGTACCGCTCCACTGATACATGCATGAAGGGATCGACCATGAAACAGTATAAAAGGCGGGCGTAGCCACCATGCGATCACCCACTTATTTTAGACTTTTTGGAAATCATCGTGTTTGTTTTTGAGGTCTGAAGTTGGCTTATATGGATAAAAGGGTGCTAATTTATCAGCAGGCTTCATTAGCAAACTGAATTTATAAACCATATGGGTGCAATAGACAGACACACCTGTGCTAATTCGCGCTAAGTAAACATAAAGGCAAGTTTAGAATTTCACACACCAAAACCAAACTACAAACATCTGGGATTATCTGCACCGTACAGCAGGATATAATATTATTCCGAGAATCCATTCAAATGTTCCAAAAGGCGCTGACAGCACAAACACAGCGAGGAGGTTTAGTTCGGTGACTCGAAGCAGCAGATGAGGCCAGCGGACACTAATCGGCTCCAACTGCCTTTGTGAGGACACCTGTGATTATCCAGGTGGATGATTTAGGTAAAAAAACAAATTCACAGATGGCCAAGGCCAAATCTGTTGGTTAAGACTTTTGTACTGGGCTATAAAAAAAAGTATTTTAATGCATTTTCATATGGGAGACTATGGAGATTTACTTTTAACCATATTAACATAAAGAACTAAATAGAAAACTTTGGTTTTTGAAGGCTCTCAGTTGGTCTAAACCAGGGGTGGGCAATTCCAGGCCTCGTGGGCCAGTGTCCTGCAGGTTTTAGATCTCACCTTGGATCAACACACCTGAATCACATGATTAGTTTGTTACCAGGCCTCTGGAGAACTTCAGGACATGTTGATGAGCTAATTTAGCCATTTAAATCAGCTGTGTTGGTTCAAGGACACATCTAAAACCTGCAGGGACACTGGCCCTCGAGGCCTGGAGTTGCCCACCCCTGGTCTAAACCATAACAAGTATAAAAGACGAATGTAGCTTCTGGATCTTAAAAATGAAGCTGTAGACAAAATGCTCCTTAAACCTACATCTTTTAATGACCAGCAGGGAGTAACTCCTTAGCTCCTGTGCTCGGTGACCTCTGCAAACACGCTCCTTGCTCATCAGGTCCAGCTTAAAAACACCAGCATGGTCACAGCGATAATGCTCAGCTCAAACATTCACAGGGGACTTTATTAACTGCTGGGTGATGTCACAGTGGCTACATCCTTCTTTTAAACTGTGTGAGCCAGGCTTGAAATGATACATCAAACTGGTGTTTGTGACCTGAACAGGAGTTTTAGTATCACCACAGTAATAAAAAGCAGAAACCATTAGTCACAGCTCAATTTAAAGGTAACAGTGATAAGAAAATTGAAATCTAATAGGCAAGAGAGAGAGAGTAGTTTAGATAGCTGCCATAATCCAGACTTTAGTTTATTTGTCTGTCTGTGCGGTGGAAACACCTCAATCGACAATATTTGCTTGCCACCTCCAGTGTCCAGTTACACTTTTCACACAAACACAGCAAGGGTGGCACCTCGACAGGTAGGCAAACAGCTCAAAACAGAGCATGCAATAAACTGAGATGCCTCAGCATTTCACCACTGAGGCCACGGATGTTCATCTTGTATGCCTGCCTTGGAAATGCAATGGCAAAAGAGTTTTTAAGAAAACACAAGTGACGGAATAATAAATGACCTACCAGGCAACAGGTTTGCTCTAATCCAGTATTATTCAGGTTGATGGGTAACCTTCTTGCAGGTTGTTGTATTTCTATAATGTCTGATCTCCCATAATTATCAGGAGTTAAACTAAAGAAATGCTTCTGTGGCTTTTCTCCATCCTGCACTGTTTGTAAGCCATGTCGGCTAATGTTAGCCATTAGCTAAGCCTTGTGTCATAAGGTTGCCAGGTTTGGCGTTTTTTGTTTTTTTTTAATTAGGCAATATAAATTTGCATTTATTTATTTTTTATAAACACTCAGAAATAGCAGTTATATGTCAGTCAAATTATTTAAATGACACAAACCTAAACAAATTCATTTAAGTTTATTAAAGTACAAACGTTTCATTGCAGCTCTGTGGTAAAGACCTATAACACCTGCACGCTTTTTTTCCCCAGTTTTGTAACAGACACTTTGATTTACTGTTAATGCTGAAACGTCTCTGCAATTATTGACTTAATTATAGGAAAGAATTAACAGTTCTTACAGTGCAGATCTCCATATTTATGGCATCTAGCAGTGTGTGGTGGTTGGAGCACTCCTGCTCTACATCATTATTTACCATGAAAGTTGCCTTGGTCCTCAGAAGATTCGCTGACTTCTTCCTTCAGTTTCTCAGGGTACTTTTGATGATATGTTCTCACTTCACTCATCACATAAGATTCAACCTTTGCTTCACTTTTGCCAACTTTCACCACTTGGCGTGAACAGAAACTTCTAAAACCATCCCACCAAATGTAAAAACTAAATAAATTACTGACAGAAAACTATTTGTAGAGCTGAGGGCAGCTGTAGATTTGTCTGTTGACTCATTCACTTTGGGTTCATCACAACAAGCGACCACTAAGCATGCAGAGGAACACAAATGTGACATTAGCATCACTTATTACCGGCGTATGTAACAGCTCATGTCTCCGAATGTTTCCCACGTGCTTCCTCTCCAAACAAACAAATCCAAGACTGACTCCTCCCTGAGGATAATGAAGATGGAAAGATTGTGCAGTATTTTTACGCTGCAATTACAGACAACACGTCAGAGGTAAGAGGTTTAATGTCTCAATCTATATATACCCTGTGCCTTCACATATTGCTCATTCTGAATCATTAAGAAGATGCATACAGAGCAACAACTGAGCAAATACGGAGGCTTGAAATCAGGGATGTGGGATTTTAAGGAGGAAAATTGGGATTACTTTGAGAAAGCAGGAGAGTTGGGCACATGCCTTTCATTATTTCATTATTGCATTATAGAGCATTTACTTTGAGGGAAAACTTCAGGACCGTATGGATGCTTTCATTCTTCCAGTCACATGCACCTTGCAAATAAAAGGTCTGTACAAATGTATGAACATTTACTACATCTACTGTAACTAGAGTTGAGGTTTTATTGATCAAGAACCGCAGCCCATGCTCAAATATCACCTGAAGTCGGTGCACTCATTAACATCAAACCAATAACAAGATAAGAAGGAGAATTCATTGAATTTCACTTTTAATTAAAGTTTTTCACACCCATTAACACAGCAACTGGAGAACATCTGTAAGTGGCTGAAGCGTCACAGTATAAAAATCTCTACCTGCACAGGTCCAGAAACACAACAAGAACAACAACTGCACATGGAAACCAACTTCCACCAGAGAAATGAAGGAATTCGATATCAAGTAACGGACCGGCACTTTGCAGCTGCATTTTTCAGAGCGAACCTGTCAAGACAGGAAGACTTGAGAAACACAGTGTATTTAAAATAAAATAAAATAAAATAAATATATATATACAGCATATTTTTCAAGCAAATCTTAGCGAGAAGTGTGACTAAAGTCAGCGTCAGTATAATATTCAGCTCAGTCTCTCTCTCACACACACACAGACACACAGGTATTGACACTTTTCTCAATTCTCATTTTAAATGTCATCAGTCAGGCCTCTCTGGCCTGTGTCTAATTAAACAGCTATTGAGTGCAGAAATATACAGACTGATTTCCACCACAACAGCAGGGTGGATAATGGGAAAGTTAATTGTAGTAAGTTGATTCTGGTAATTCCTCTGCTGATGTAATAAAGGTTAGCTGCACAGGCGCAGTGGCGATTAGAGATGCTGTAGTTTAATACCCTGACAGCTGCTGGGTAAACTGTCGTAACATCTGGTACGTATGGTGTGTTCGAGCTTATTACTGTTGTTTTTTCAAGCTCCATCATCAGCTAGCTCTTTCCTGGTGGTTAACTGCTAAGTTGTGACATCAAGGAAGAATTCAAACAGTGGTCTGACATTTTCCCTGAATGTCAAAGTTAAGATGAATAACTCGAGTCCTGTTGGCCTCGGCTCTTGCCGTCTTTAGGGGTCCCCATCGCAGATCATCTGCCTCCATCTCACCTTATCTCTGTCACGTCATCTTTCTGCTTCTCCTTTACTACATCCACGAATCTCCTTTGTATCTTCCTCTTTCCCTCCTGCCCAGCAGCTCCATACTCAACATCCATTGTCCACAATATCCACTATCCCTCCTCTGCTCATGTCCAAACCGCTCAACCCTCTGCTATACTCATTACTAATCCTGTCCATTCTGGTTACTCCTAATGAAAATCTTCAACTCTGCCACCTCTGCCGCTTGTCTTTTTGTTAGACCACACATCATAGCAGATCTCGCTACCATCTTATAAACCACTCGTCTCCACCATTTCCACCCCGGCTCCGCGCTCTTCTTCCCCTTTCTTGTGCACCGTTCATTGTTTTGGATGACTGACCCCAGGTATTTACACTCCTCTACTCCTTGCTATTTCAGTTCAAAATATCATCCAAAAGCTGACAAGAAAATGAAGCGAGTCAGATGTGAATAATAAAAGATTCGGGTAAAATATTCTTCAGAAAAACTTTTAAAACTCCAGTTTGTACTTTGGTTTGCATTCATTGTGATAAAAAAATAATTAACTGGTTGAATTTATTTAAGTTACAAGATGTATGTAGTGATGAGGGTCTATCTCACAATTTGCAGAGTATGAACCTGTGACATATTAACCGAGAACAGCACAGCCCATCCAAGCAGAAATACCAGATAAAGGCATTGTTTTCAACTCTATTAAAAGATAAACCACATGAAAACAGTTATAAAAGTTGAACACACTCAAACACACCCTCCATATATTAGCTGCAGTTTTATATACACATTAGTGTATTAGGAAATCCTCACCTATAGCACAAGGAGAGCCACAAAAGCACAATAAGAATCCACTGAGATTTAGTACTGAAACTACTGGAACATTTTAGGCATGCAAAAGAAACATCGACAACCAAACAATTTGGAAGTTTGAGTAAAAGAAACAACAACAAAGTCTACAAGCAGGCACTGTATGTTGCACACAAGTATGCAGCAGGGATTGCAACAGATCAGAGTTTCACGCCATAACCATAACAAACCAACCAACAGAGTCACTGTATATAAAGCACGACGATAGTGGTGCTACAAGTGAGCTACAAACACCAGGTGAGAGCGGTTCTCGTATAATTAAACGAAGCTTTGGGTGGACGTGTGAGGAACTCTCAGTAACTTGCATCAGTCTGATGTCTCTGACTTATTTTCTTTGTGAAGTCGCTCTCCTCTGCTGGGCACTCGAGGTTGCAATCACTTCCCATTTCTTCTAATTCTTCAGAAGGACGACAGAGAACAGCAACAGAAGACAGGGCGGCTGCTCCCGTTAAAGCACACAAGGTTGTTCTCTCGACGTCTCTTTCCTGACTCGTCTGCTTCCTCCCCATCGGACTTCATTAAAGATGAAACCGTATATCTGAAAATGTCTGTCATAAGCACTTCTCCCTCGCTGGTGCATAATTAGCATTTCACAGACAAGTGTATATACACAATACAAACCCGACATACATCGAAGAGTCGTTTCAAAGCATTCAGTTTACAAAATACGACATAGAAAATTAACAACTCTGGACGAAAAAAGGAAAAAGAAAAGAAATCAGGCTCAAAACACACTCACACTCACGTACACCCACAGTGTAAGGCTTTAGGGTTTAATTAATCCTTGCACACATCATGCAAAGACCAGCGCCATGTTCACACTGTGCAGCTGGTACTTGCTGTGACACGAGTTTTCTAATCTGCTCAAATGAGACATTGAATAAAGTTACACAATGCACAATGGTATGATCGTTTGTCTACTGCCAACAAGGCAAATGTACAGTACAGTGCAAAAGTCTCAATCCACCCTTCATCTCTTTATTCATTTGCTCCCAAGGAGACAGGCTTTCGTGTCATTTTTAAGGTGGCCTTGAGCAACAGTTTTCCTTCGGCAGCTTTTTCACTCATCTTCAGTCCAGTCCTTGTACCTGACCATTTTCAGACTCTGTTAAGCCACTGACCTATGTGTCTACACATAAAAGACGAATTTAGAAATGAGCCGACTTTAAATAAGTATATTTTGGTACTTTGTTACTAGCGGCTGATCACACAAACCATCGTTTGCTCACATCTTTTTTAGTTGAAAGGCATACTGTCCTACTGGGCATACGGATACGGGGCTACGTTTGAACTAGGATCTTGTCAAAAATGATGGAAATGTGAACACAGAAAATCACCACTAGGTTTCAATCCACCGTACAGTACTATCTGGAAAGCATCTGATCGTCAAGAGCTTCATTTTTCTACATGACAGTGATCCCAAACACACCAACAACGCAGTGAAAGCATACTCGGGTAGAAAATTAAGCTGTACTATCAGTCATGGGTTGGCCTCTCCACAGCCCAGATCAGAATTATTGAAGCAGAGTGGGATCAGTCAACATCCAAAGAAGAGCTTTGAATGTCCTGGAGAACTATTCCTGAAGACCACTTAAAGAAATTAGCAGAAAGCTTGCCTTTGAGAGTTCCAGCTGTGTTGATGAATATAAAGTGTTCACAGCAAATATTGACTTTTAAGCTCCTTAGAATTGCACACACTGTTTTTCCACGTATGTTTGCACGTTTTAACAAATCGCTGCACTTATTTCCCATTTTCCTTAAAAGGATAAAGAAATGAGGGGTGACTATTGGACAGTACTGTGTTGTTGCATAAATTTAAAAATTAAAAAGTTAAAAAGTTCGACTTTCTTGTCCTGCTGCAAACAGCAAATCAGCACTTTGTCCAGTGTAAACCTTACACTCACTTGTAATAATCAAACTAGAAAATGTCCTTTACATGCTACTATATTTAAAATGAGTACTTTTTTTCATATCTGTTGAGATTTGGAGTAAACAATGAAGAGTGAAGCGACCTGGAATGAAATTTTAAATGAGGGAAAGACCATTTGAGTATTTGCCTGCGTTTTTATCTTGTAGTTCAGAATTACCAACTGGTCTTGGAGTCGATGTCGATGTTTAATCAAGGTGCCCACACTGGACTTGACTGCATGTTGACGGACTGTTATTAACTGGAGTGCCCACACCGCTATTTCATCACAGTATAAGGATTTCACCAACCAGATAAATATGTATATCAAATATACTGCAACCAGTTTCCCTTGCTGCTCCACTTTCATTAACTCATAGCTGTGTTTCATACGGTTACAGACATGACTGGGGGCTATTAAAAATATTAAAATCCAAAAACATTACTGCTCACTAATAAAAATCTCATTTTAACAAGTCATTTCTGTCTATAATTAAGCTTTAGGAATATTTTAAGGTGAAGAAATCTGCTTCTAACATAAGATTTTTTTCATGGATAGTGTCCGAATGTTGCTCTGCAATCAAAATAGATGAGAAATGATTTGTTTACACCTAGGCTATTTTTCATATTTTGCATGCTTGTAAGAATACAGGTGGTTTTGCTCTGTTTCGTTCAATGACGTGTCAAAAAGACAGCGACAAATGCTTTCTTTAAAATGTTTGATGCTGAAGGAAAGGATCCCCACATTTGTAAATGTTCTGTAATGTTCAGTTATCCTTAATTGTATCGTTATAACATAGACTTTAGTGTTTCTTACAAGATCAATCGTGTTATAATTGTACTTTTTGATGGGCATGTAAATGTGGGCTGCTCTGGCAACTGGGATCAAAGGGTCATTTGCACATCAGGCTCTAGTGCCACTTCAAAGCTCCCACCGTTTCACAAAAGCATCTCTGTGCCCGTGCAGCACATGGCGAGATGGGGAATCGCATCCAGTGCTGCTGCGGATTTCTGCCACATTACAATAATAAAACCGTGGCACGCACAGATGAGCGCAGTGAAGCACAGGTGTCCTCCAACCTTTGAACCGGAGCTGGCTGGGAGACCCGGCCAGAAAGAAAACCTTTCATGTGTCAAATTCAACCATTGCTGTTCAGCCCAGCTTGGTTTAATGAGTGTTCATTAATGGGAGATGGAGTTAGGCAGAGCTTGGGATGATAAATCCTTGAGGTGTCCACATATCGGCTACATCTGGGTTATTTAGTGCTCTTAGTGTTTATTTAGATTTATTAAAGCTGATGTTCCTTATGGGATTGGTTTTCATTCTTGGAGGTCCTTCCCTGTCGTCTCCCTCTGTCTTTATGGTCACTGTTAGAATAAATAAAACATAGAAACCAGTGCAAACATCTAATTTAAGCTTAATCTGTATCCTCGCTCTTTGCCCCCCTTTGACCTTCAGTTCCTGGAGCTTTAAACCCCTGAGAGCAACTTCCCCAGAGGCACCTCTCGCTCTCCCAGCAAGGTGTCCCTTTTGAGGCTGGTGCCTTTATTCACCACCTTGAACTTCACGGAGAGGCTCTTCACCTGAGTCGAACTTATGGAGTCGAAGAAGAAGTCCTCGTTAAAGACCGGGTTGCGGCTGTTCTTGATGATGTTGCTCCTTTGCTTCTGCAGCTTGCCCGGGTTCAGGTAGACAGACACGCAGCAGTTGATGCTCTTCATGTCGAAGTGCTTGTCGTACAGACTCTCCGCCGCCAGGACGCGGATGAGAAGGCGGGAGGTGCTGGAGTCGTAGTTGACGCTGATCCGCACTGTCCCGCCTTTGTGCAGGTTGATGGTGTGCTCCTGATGGAGGCCGTGGTCCGAAGCTCCAGCGCCGCCGTGATAGGTGGGGACGTGGAGCCGTCGCTGGACGTTGGGGCTGGGCTCGGCCGAGCTGCACTCGTCGGTGGAGAGGGAGCTGTGGCGTGCGAAAGTCCGCTTGGCTTTCACCACTTTGGCCTGCGTCTCATGGGTGAAGATCTTGAGCAGGGACGCGGAGCGAGAGAGCAGAGGGGAGCTGAAAGGGGAGGACTCGGCTGAGGAGCAGGTGTCGCTCTCTCCGCCGCTGAAGTATCGGTAGGGATTCATGTGAGAGGTGTTAAAGTCAGCTGGATTCAGGTGGTTTCCCGTGTCGCTGCTTCTGCCCGGAGTCTTCCTCTGCGTATTTGGGGAGGTGATGGGACTGGTGAGCTCGCAGTGGAACAGCGACTCTTTACGGCGCGTGTGGGGGCTTTCCTTCAAGGTAGCAAACCCGTAGGACGTCTGGGTCTTGGGGACATAAGGCAGAGACATTGCAGTCTGCGACTGGGGGTCTGCGTTAGTGTCTCCAGCCACCACATCATCAGCACTCTCTATCTGTATAATGTGGCGGTTTGCAGCTCTCAGCAAGTTCTTGGTGTCTCCTGCAATCTTGGCTACCAAACGTGGGCTTCTCGGACTGCTGATCTTCCCACTACCGATGGTGTGCTCAGAAGTGGACGGGTGCAGGCCTTCTTTGGGCTTTACGGCGGGGATCTCGGGCTCTGGGGGGCAGCTCACCAACTTCGGAGGAATGAAAAAATCTGGGATCCTGTCGGGGGTGAGGACGTTGCTGTAGGTCGGGGTGCCACCCTTCTTGTCCCCGTTCTCCCCCTGTCGCAGAACACCACTCTCCACCGACCCGCGGATCTTATCCAGAACCCACATGGTCCCCACTGGAAAGTGGGATGTGTGGAGTAGGTGCAGTCAGGTGTGTCTGCAATTAATAACACACATGGGTGGGCGGGGAGAGGGAGAGGGGGGGGGTTAAACGATCAGAGCGTCACTCCACGGGGAGAAGAGGGATAAAAATATCACCTGAGTGCTTTCGCGCTGAAACGCAGTCTGTGATTAGGACCGCAGGCGTTTACAGGAATAAGACTTGAGTAAACAGGAAATATTATAGCGTTATCGCACTGAACCTGAGCTTAACTTTCTGTTTAGTGTCGAACATACGGACAAACCCTTCTTTTAAAAGGTTTTCTAGGCTTATAAACAATAGGAGAGAATCCTTTGAACGGACAAAAGACAGGTCATTACTAAAAATAAAATAAATAAATCCAGCTACATTAAATCTCCAACACATGGAATAAAGTCTTTGTGTAGTTTTTAGATAACAGAGTGTCTTTACGGACTAACGCAATCAGTCTGCGGATAAATCAGCAACAAAGGATTTACTTCTCGATTTCCGATCGCACGGTCACGTTTTAATGAGCAAAATTTAAAAGTGCATTCTTTGAATTAGAAACTCTCCCTAATGATGTAACTGGAAACTTTTAATTTGCACTTATGCTTTAATCTAATTTAATTTCAGTTCCGGGAAGACGACAAGAAAAGAAAAGCTCACAAATATAAATTATTTTACCAAATGCATTAATAACGCTCCTGCATATAGATATTCGATACGTTTCGACATTGAACGATCACATGAACTCGTTTTTTAAGAGAAAACTCCGTAATGAAAAGACAGTTCAACAGGTGCCTGCATGTTTCCTCTGGTCTGCTTCGAAAAGCTCAATAATGTTGATATCTGTGCTATGTAATAAAATTATGATACTTACAGCAATGCAGAGGAAGACGCAGTCCTCTTTTTTTCACTTTGCTTTCGTTTCTTCAGTAACAGGTGTGCTTTTCCCCCCCTCTCTCTCTCACCTCGGATAAGTCTGTGCGCTCCGTGGCGCTACTCTGCGCCCTCAGACGGTCTCGGCTCCGGAGCGCCTGTGGTGCGTTTTATAGATGGCACACAGATGCAGCTGACCAATAAGATCAAATTGTGCGTTTCCGCAGAACCAGCTAGAAAGAACACCAGTTGCTCCTGTGAGGAAAGGAATCATACAGGTTGGGTTTACATGAGTCCCCAAGAGTCACTGCAGTTAACTGCCGGGGTTTTCTTTTTAACCTTTGCGCACAGCACTGAGGTTTTATGTTCCAATCATTCATTCTCTCTCTCTCTGCATATATCCAAATCTATATCTATAGAGATAGATATGTACATGGGGCTGTTTGACCAGAAAAAGCACAAGCAGACAATGCAACGTGGAGCATATGCAACTGTGTGCTGGTCCAATTAACTTTAGACTGACCTTTTTTTAACTCTTCTTTTGTGTGTGTGTGTCTCTCTCCCTTCGCGTTTAACCCGACCTATTGGTCTCCCTGGAAACTTTGCTATGGCAACAAATACATTTGTCTAAAATAGGGCTGACTTCATTGATCTGCAGCACAAAAGGCACTTTATTTGTCCAGATTGCCTGGTTTTGAGTCAAGTGCCATACAGCCCGTGGACTGAGAGGGCTACGGCTGCTGCTGCTTTATCAGAGATCAGTAAATAGGCAGCAACACTAGACTGGCTCGCCAACTTAGAAATGTGCAGATGGAGAGTGTCCGTGTCTGGTGACTCCGACAAGCGCTTTGCAAACAAGTGATTAGCCAACATTTACCGCGCGCAGACCTGGAATAGGTGTCAGCATCTCTGCCTGTCTGTGCCTCAGGCGCATGGAAAACGAGCTTGATTGCCATGGGTCGTGTTGTTGCCCTTCTTGTCATAACTAATTGGGAGCTCACTGAGGGGAAACAGGCGCTCTACAGTAAACTAACAGCTATATTTGAACTCCGCGCTGAGTTCAAAGTGCATAAAAGGTTCTCCGTAGCCTGTCATGGATACATTATTTCTCTTCAACAAACTCAGAAAAAAGAATAATAATAATAATTAGACTAAATTCTCTTGCAATGTCGGTTCTTAATGTGCTGAGGAGAAGCAGCCAAACATTAGCATGTCAACAAGTTCACGGTGACACTGAGGACACAACAGCAGATGCTTTGCAGACAGAGTTCAGCAGATATGAAGTCAAATGGATCTTACTAGCCGTCGAAGCGCTTCCTCAAATTGCAGGTAATTTTTACCTGGTGTAGCATAGGTATGGTTGAGGGTGACGGCAATCAATAGTTTAGTAAACAACGGATACAATAAAAAAAACATGCAACCTTTGCATGGCAGCTGATAAAAGGCCGAGGGCATCATCAGATATTGTATTGAATAGTTTTGGAGTGGATGACGCACATTAATCCCCCTGCAAGGATTCAATACCTCATCAAATGTGTGTAATCGGAGTTGTGCAGGTGCTTTTGTTTTAAAATCAGAATTGATCGACACTGGTCTGTCAACATGTCGTGACATTTGAATTTAAATATTGCGGAATCCTTTTGAAACACGGGTGCAAGAAACCGCCATTCTTACTCGAGTGGCGGAGTGGACATAATTATACATCTCGTCTTAGGAGGTCCAGCCAGGGGTCACCGGCTGATGTAATCTGGAGGGGGCACTTACCATATAGATTGCAAAGACACATTTGAACCCTCATCCACTGCATGCCAGAGCTGCCTGATCACCATAGAGACACTTGATGCCTCTTTAAGCAAAGCCCGTATTACAGTGGGAGGCTGTCAGTTTAGTAGGTGCGTAACGGAGAGCGTAAGAGCCTTAAACTACTTTCGATTTATTTTCTTTCTAAGAACTCATGTCTGTTTATAAACCAAACTACATGTCAGCACCATCTGGCTTCAGAGTTTATTTAAATGATTAACCAATTATCACATTTTCTGTCCACAGACTAATCGGGTAACCAAGGTTTGGACACTACAGCATAAATTAAAATGTGAATATATTACCTTAAAAGTGTAATAGAAAACGAGGCTCATTAAAACTGAAACTACCTCTTCTGAATGTGCTACTACTCTGTGCACAACTCCAGCCTCACACTGCGAACAGCTTCCTCTACAAAATAATGAGATCAATACACCAGCGGCGGAGAATCTACTGAGAAAAGGTTAATGTGTCTGTTCTGCTCTCATTAAGGGGCTGAACCCTACAACTCTGTCAGAAAATGTGAGGAACACTGAAGCTATTACAAACCTGACTGTACCAAAGTGGCCTGCCCCACTGAATAATACAGAGCTGAGTCAGTGTGATCGTGTTTGCTTGTTCTCTCTGTGGATGGACAGATGTACCGCCGAGGCTGTGACTAAAGGACAAACCCCCGAGTGTGTTTCAACACTGTGGCATCCTCTCTGCTGACGCTCGACTGGCTTCCTAGAAAGACGGGAGGGAGAAGTTGGAGCTGGTACACAGAAATCTGCACCAAAGCTCTGCAGGAGGTTCAGTGCTCCTCCTCGTAGAGTCGCTTGTTCCGTCATCGCTTTGAGTGTGTTTACTCGTAGCATGTATGGCAACCCATTAGTGCCACAGCAGACACGCAATGGTGCGGTATGCTTCATCACTGTTCTTTGCGTGAAAAGGTTGCACAGACCTCCTTTTCACTGAAGAAGAAAAACAGCCCTTCCCTGTTATTCATTCATCAAAGCTCTGCTGTAAAAGCTTTCAAGCCATCTCTCATACCATGTAAATCAGGATCGAGGGGATCGCTAACATAAGATGCTGCACTACCTTCAGTAGAACTGGCTTCAGATACCATAGATTAGATTTGTTATTTCCTCTAAGAAATGCTAAAATCTCACAATGTTGTTTTTAATACTTTTTTTTACTGTCCTCTTCTTCCTGCTAATTACATTCTTGTTATGGTTTCTGGTCGCAGGTCTCTCTTGTAAGAGAAATAAGATTAAGCGGCCCACTCTTTATTGTCGTCATCCATCTTTCTTCCCTCCTGCCAGCCTCTTCCCACCCTACAGACAGCTTCTGCCGCCTTATGCACAGACATAGCATCCCAATAACCAACTCTCTATCCTCTCACTCTCATCTCACATTTCGTCACCTCCTCCAGGCTGTCCATGCAGGTCACAGACGGCTCGAGCTCAGATGCTTGCCAGTTGGAGCAGAGCAACTGAGTAACGCACGTGGCTCGGGGTCACAGCGTGAAACCAGAGCCACTGTTCGTGGCATCCAGCTCCTGCTCAGCAGCCTGCTTTTTCTGGTCCACTGAACTGGCATTTTGATTGGGTGGACGCAGGGCAAAAGGTCATAACCGTCGCCACAGGAAACACATCTGATCGGCTCGGCAGAAAAAATGGTGTATCACCGTCAGAGGACATCTCGTGATCTAGGAGCATGGGAGAGCGTTAGCACATAAATGAGAAAAGTATACTCCTGTGTGCACTACTCTATTATTGATCGACATTTTTGTCAGCTGAAAGCTCCCGCATGGCATTTCAGATTCATGATTTTCATTTTCAAGCAGCATATTACAGACAGCCAAATGTGGGTCAACTCTACCAGAAAGCATAGCGTGGAGATAATAAACCATATAACTCAAGTGTAGGAAGAGAATATAAGGGTAGAGCAGGGAAAATGACCAGATGATGCATTTGCACTTTTTTAAAGATGGTGAAATATTGAATATGGCACAGATTACTCTAAAGGATGCAAAGTGCCTCCAAGAAAGGTAGAAAAAAACATGTCAAAAGATAAGAAAAACAAGAAGACAAAAAAAAAAATCAGTTATTTAAAAACAAATCTTCCTCAGCTTTGCGCAGACCACTGAAACGGCTCAAAGCTCACAAGAAGCAAGCTGATGCTGCCCCCTAGAGGCATTAAACAGAAACAAACTGAATTCATGGTGGAAAAAATATTGTTCAGATCTGCAAGTGCAGATCTTTATCCTCCCCTATTTGAACATGTGCAACTAAGACAGAAAACCAATGCAGGCTTGAGAGAAATACATCCACCACCATAGGCATCACTGAATGTCAGGGTGTTATTGCCCCACAATGAAATAAAACACCAGAAATAGAGCAAGACGTACTCACAGGAAGCCAGAAAGTAATTGCACTCTGGAGCAGGCACAATTACTGCACCACATACAACTTTCTTACCTCAGTTTACTTGCAGATTTCTATAGCAGATTTCTATTCTAGATTAAATAGATTTTTTGGCAAGTGGTTGAGTTTTCCAAAAACATGGATATGTAGGGATATATCTTGTGTAAAGCTGCAAAGACACAGGCAGTGTTTCATTCAGAAAAGAGACAATTGAACATTTAAGGTTTATTAAAGGGTGTTAAAGTCACTTCCCTGTCTGCACACAGACTTTAAAAAAACTGAATAAGGCTATTTTATAAAGAAAAAATCCATATATAGATGCATTTTTACCCTTTTTCCATTCACCATCACTTAGAAAAGTATCAGCTTGATTTATATCATACTTGTCCTGGATATTTACAACAGCAAACCCCAGAAAAGCATGAACTTCTTCATTAGTGAAATCATCTGCCTGATTTGTCTCCAACTTGATGATAACGCGTGAGTGATTATCAAACACCCTTCAGGTAGGTGATGCAGTACAATACTGTGATCTGTTTAGAAATTAGAAACGTCGTCGCTGAACTCCAGCTCAGGAGCAAGTCAGAATATTTTTATTTCTGGGTTTTGGTTATTTGCACACCTTTTTTTACTGACAGACCAAAGTCCTTGGTCTGAACACTGAATTATTCTCTTTCAGTATGACTGCAGATCACAGTAAACTTTTGAATACAAAGATTATAACATCTCAACTCTGCCAGTAAAGATTCTGCAAATCAGCCACACATGCTTCATATGACCACGGCATGAAAGGATAAAGAGGCACAGCCCTGATATTCCTGAAAGGTTTTAATACAAAAAAGTAAAACCAATTTTAGCCAGAAGCTGAAAAATTACCCTCAAGACATGTCTTATATCACTCAAGTGTCCTTGTCTTGAATAGAGTGGCGTCTTTTCCTATTAAAAATGACAAACGATCTCAGTCAGTCCCAGAATTTATCAGGTTACCAGAACAGTATGGAAACATTTTATACACTGGTTAAAAAAAAATTAAAGGAACATTTTGAAAGCACATTAGATTTCAATTGAATTTCCATCAGTTCCAATGATGAAGAACTAAAAAGAATCCACAGATATCCTCCTCACCCTGTGAGGCAGGTGCCGAGCTGAGAGGAAAAGAAGAAGAAATGGGACAGAGAAAAGGAGTTAATGGTTCACTGCAGAACTTGTTTGTTTGATGGAAATGAAAGCAAACCTACAGAGGGTTGAATTCAAACATACCCCAAAAATTACAGTAAAAAAAATAAAAAAAATTGACGTGAAAGGCTAGTCCATTTTGCTGAAATGTCATTGCAGTAACTCAGAATGGTACTTACTAGTTTGTATGACCTCAACATGGCTTGTATACATGCCCATAATGAGATGATGGATGGTGTCCTGGAGGCTCTCCTCCCAGATCTGGACCAGGGCATCACGGAGCTGCTGGACAACTGAGGTGCGACCTGGCAGCGTTGGATGAATCGAGACGTGGTGTTCCACAGGATTTAGCTCAGGTGTAGGGGGTCAGTGACTGGTATCAAACCTTTCATCCTCCAGGAGCGGCCTCCTTACTCTCGTCACATGAGGTTGTACTAGGAGGAAACCAGGACCCAGTGGGGCCAAGGATTTTATCCGACACACCATGCTATTGAGACTGTGCTGGGAGACACAGCAAGCCTTCTGGCAATGGTATGTATTGATGTGCCATCCTGAAGGAGCTGGACTACCTGCACAACCTCTGTAGGGTCCAGGGTCTTTCATGCAACACTGAGCTAAGTTTAAACACAATTCACAGAGCATGCAGCTGGACTCTTACCTCAGTTGGGCCAAGATCCAAAAGGTCCTACACAGAAGAAATAATTGAAAAAGAAAATGCGTCCACTTAGAGGAGACGAAGCTCAAACTCACGTTTGTAACACAAAAACACAGAAAGCATCAGGAAATCCTTTAAAAGTCTCCACCACCCTCTGAGTGTAGCAGGGTGACTACGGGGTACACGCCTCATCACGTGCTTTCCTTACACTTCAACTCAAACAGAAGTTTTAAAATGAATTAAGAAAGGAAACAGGTCTTACCTCTGCAAGACAAGTATGAGTTTTCCCCTCAAATGGTATTCACTATCATCATTTCAGTGACTGCAAGACGACACAGAAAATGCAGAAACCAATGAGACCGTGAAAATCTCCAACGCACGCACACACGCACATGCACAAATAAAAATCAGCCAATATCTAATAAAGAGCTTTATTCAGATTTTAAATAGATTTACAAACCATAAGAAAAAAAAGAAAAGAAAAACGAGGAAAAAAAATATATCAAGTGATCGTCAAAATATCCACATGTGCATATCAAGGTAGATTGTAAACAGTCCTTTGAAGCCAAAAAGTGAGACTGCCAGGGGTCAGGTTCACTCAGCTGGAAAAGGGTTTGTTTATTGGTGGTTGTTTTGTTTTTTTCCTGAGGTTCTTGTTGTTTTCTTAACTGCTGGGTTTCCCTCAGTGAGGCTGCCACCAACCAGAGCTCAGAGTGTGGGGAGCAAGGACGATAAAACAGTAGTTTGACCCAAAAAATAAAAAAATCCCATTCTCGCAAACCATTACAATAGAGAGGCAGGGGTTCATTCATAAACTATGTAACAAACACTGATCAATTATACAGTAATGACAACTCTGTGGCGTAAACAGTAGCGGGTAACGATCCCTGCATGGTGTGCCGACTCAGTTTGGCTCTGTCCAACTTTTCCGTTTCATATCTGTGTAACTGGTTCATATCTTTACTCAGTCTTATATGAACAACAAAAGGGCTTTTAACAATAAAGTCAATACATATAAGAGAAAACATTGCAGCCTTTACCACAAATTACAAAGAAAAAAAACAACAACAACCCTGAAAACAGAAAAGCAGCCCCCCCCCTCCTCCAAATGCAGCTCAGATAAAATTGAGTTAAGAGGACATTTTTCCTTGGACACAATCCCAACCCTTATAGCAGGTCTAAAACCACAAACACATCATAACAGCATGCTAGTGAAGAACCACATTCTCCCGTTCATGCTTAGAGATAAACCCCATCCCAGTACCTTCCCAGTTTTGCTTTTCCGCACATTTCAGCTCATCTAAAAAAATAAAATAATAAAAAAAAAACCATCAGCAAGTATTCTCACTCACACACACACACACACACACACACACACACACACACACACACACACACCAGAAATACTGTTGGGTGGTGGTAACGGGGGTGTAACAGAGCACTCTTGGCAGTTAGGAGAGGGTCTGATGGTGTACAGTAGACTGAAAACAAGACGCCCCCCCCCCTCCTTCCCCCATCCGTCTCCATTTTTAATTCTTCTGAATCACATCCTGCATCAAGCTGCCACCCGTTTGCCTTTGAGGTAACAGGATTCATTGATACTGATGAGTCAAAATGGCTGGCGCAAAGAAATATGCCAGTACACACAGCCGCCAGCAGGGGGCGAGCTCTGTGAAGGGCAGTGAACAATGCAACTCTTCAGCTCTGGAGACTTGTGCTACTCAGGAGTTGGGATCCCAAACCACAGACCGACACAGCTTCACATGTCCGTCTCTGACCAAGGACACGTGGCTGCTTGTGAGACTCGAGCTGGAGTTTGGGACACGCTGCAAAGCTCAGCTTTACTGACACGCTTAAAGCACTGCATATTGAGTAAGTTCAAGCACTGACTGCATAGGTTTGTTAAATACAGTACGTTAGATTTCACGAGCAGCAGTGAGCTGGGCTGGCGGTTTCTTAATGCATCCGAGCCACTAGTAGCGCGTGCTTGTACGACGAAGGCCGTGTGGCAGTCGGTAGAGGACGTTTCTGGGGTTCTGGTCTACATGCCATTCTTTAGTTCAGCTGTTCGATCTTACCTTCCTCACTCACACCTCGGAAAAATCTGACAGGTGCCGCTATAAATAAGTTCCCTCCATCAGGAGGGCGCCATTTACACAATATCGCCACCTGAGAATTAAAAGAGCAGGGAGGAGGGGGGGCTGACTGACTCCTTATGCCACTTTCCTCTTGCCTGGCTGACTGGGGTTTGCCATGACTCATGGATCCCATTGGACAGTCATATGTGGAATATTAGGGAAGGCACAAGAGAGTGTGAATGGCAGACAACTTTCATGTGTGGAGCAGCACAAGCCTTGCGGCTTAAAAGGTCAGAGGTGAGGCATGGCAGGGCTTTGAACAGCCTGCAAACTAGAGTAGAGTCACACACACATCCGGGGCTCAGAGGCGGAAACGACTCCGCTTTAGAAAAAGAAAAAACAAAACAACTCGCGCAGACACACATACGCACAGCAGGCCAATTATCCTACGTTAGCTTTCTTCACAAATCTTGCTTTACTCCGACCTGAACCTGTCTCCTGATGACTGTGATTAAGAGCAGGTGTGACCATTCTGCACCAAAATTAACTCAGACATCAGATTTGTTCCACTCAAAGCCTGCAGAAGAAACAGGACTCGAAGCTAAAAGGCTAAGCTAATTTTTAGTAAGTGCAGATCAACAGGAGGTGAGGAAACCAAAACTATTACTTTGAAGATTTCCTGCTGAGTGTGCATATTGTGTGTAACCTTTACTAAGAACAGATAAATAAAAGAAAACATGTAAGAAACAAGCAGAAAAAACTCTGTAGCCTTCTTTTCTTCAATGCATCGGGTTTTAGTGCGCACGCTGTGACTGCACATGTGACAGCAGGTGGACGGGGGCTGTGCTAAGTGAGTACTGGGGAAGAAGGGGGGAGAGGGGGATTCAAAGTTCAGTTCATGACAGAAGAGGGCGGTCAGCGGTGGGATGGGGGTGTTGAGAACAAGAACAGCGAGCAGGGGGACGATATCGCAAGGCGGGCGAGGTCAGGAGTCCTCAGTGCCCGAGTCGTCCTCATCATAGCAACAGTCCTCATCGTCATCCTCGTCGTCATCATCATCATCCAGCTCCTCGTCATCGTAGTAGTCATCGTATAAGAGGTTGGAGCCGTCGTCCGTGGGTGGGACTTGGGTTCGGACGCAGTACTCGTCCAACGTGACAGGAACCTTGACACCGTCCCGCTCTGCATCCGCTTTGGTAGCCACCACCTGCTTTCTGTAAGACGCAAGGAAGAAACAGAAGAGGTGAAAAAAAGAAATAAAAATGAGGCTATGAGCAAGTTCAGTTGTGGCGCTCTGTTTCTACTGTACAGACAAGCAAACGTTTGAAGTGAGGAGACAGTCGAGTGCGTTTTTCTTCCTTCCTGTACCTGATGATCTCGATGTATTCTCTGTCCTTGCCCTTGCTGTCCCTCCACTTTCGGTACATGACGGAGGCGTCCACGTTGGCGGGGGAGAACGTGTTGGGTTCATTCAGCAGAGAGATCACACTGAGCAGGATGGTCCTGAGAGAGAGGCCGACAGCGGAACGAGTGATTAAAATAGTTGAAGGCAATACAGGATGAGGAGAAGGAAACGGGGCGGAGAGTAGCAAAGATGGAGGTAAGACGAGACAAGAGACACTGAGTGCAGGAAGCAGAAGTGTACAGAAATGGAAAGACAGACGTACACAGACAAAAAGAGGGAGAGAGGGTGAGGGAGGGAAGGAGGGAGATGAAGGTCAGGGTCAGACGAGCAGCCTGTTAACCCTCTGATCATCTGCCTCTGCTGCTGCGTTTGACTTTATTGGCCTAAACACAGCTGTGATTAAGAGACCAGTCACACAAACATGGGTGGGCAGTTTGTTTGATCCTCCAAAACATTTTTACACACTCTCCTCCTGTAAATAATATTAAGCTGCTTTTGTATCTGTCGCTTCTGTCTGCAGCAGTCGGAGGATCCTTTATGAAAGACACAGCCGTAGTGGATTTTGTCTACGCTGAGCACAGAAAAAAAAAAAGACAACTGAGAATCTGGAGGGACCAAGTAATTCAATCTGTGTCACGCAAATATCAGAAATAAAGACGTATGAATTAAACATCATGTTTGGGTGTTTGCTGCATTTAAACTGCAGCAAGCTGAGAAAAGGCCTCAAACAATCATCCTGTTTTCATGCTACAGGATCTGGACTCAGCCATCTACATTTTCTGCTCTGTAGGCAAAAATGCAGCACTGCTTTTGTAATATTCAGCTCTGAGGCTTCATTACTGTGGACAAAATTGCAGTAAAGAAATTCATTTCCCAAAGTACATAATGTAGCTGCTGTCTTGCCACCACACTTGAGTAATGGTGAAGCTGTTTAGAGGCTCACAAATGTACCCATAGAGCTGGTATTACATCCAGTAGCAAGGAGAGACAACAATGCCGCCCGAATGTAAGAAAATGTCTGTGCCCGGCTACAAACATTGTCTAGCTCCTCCCCTGATCCTCCATGATCAGCATGACTGGCCACGGCCAATGACCTTCTTTAGCAGGTGCACAGCCAGTGCATCTCCAGATCTGTTCAAACGTTCCCACTCTATGATGAAAGCAAAATCCCGACAGACAAAAAATGCACTATGCATCTAAATGAATCAATTAAAAATTCATTATGGTCTCGCTACAAGCCAGAAAAAAAGAAAAAAAAAGAAAAAAAAAAAACTCTGCAGATCATCATCTTCTTTTTTTTTCTTGAGTTGTTCCAGAGCCTGACGTGTACCTGACGTTCTGCGTGGGGTTCCACCTCTCCGATGGCAGCTCACCGCTCTGTGGGTCGTCCACTGGTGGATGAAGGATGGAGATGCACACATCCCCGTTCTAGGGACATGAGATAGTAAACAAGCATGTTCAGACAAGCAGTCACCTTTAAGAAGCGCGAAAAGATTCAAATATTAGGGCTACATGTTGGAAAAAACAAAAAAAAAAAAAAAAACAAAAAAGAAAAATCTACTTGGAATCACAAAAATGTCAACGTTTGACAGTCACACTTCTCTCTCTTTTTTTAAATTTATTTTAAATTCAGATTTACCTCGTAGATGTTCGGGTGCCACATTTTGGTGAGAAAGCGGAAAGCCGGTGGAGAGTACGGGTAGTCGATTGGAAACTTGATCCGAGCCTTGGGGTGAGAAAAGACACCTATTAGCAGCGTACTGACAGCACGAGTGTTTACCTCTCTCTCTCATGAACAGACAAGTTGTGACCAATTTCCCTTGTCACCGCCTGGTAACCATTTAAACTAATTAGTACAACCGAGCAACAAGATGATTGCTTTACCCACAGTTAGGCATTTAATTAAAGACAGTCTTGGCACCATTTGCTTACATTGTGTAATGGATCTACGCACACGCACGGTCAGAAAAAACTGCAAGAACACACTGCAAGTCTAAATGATTCTGCAGAAGAAATAAAAGCATGCATGTGTGTGGCTCTCTGTCGGGGTATTCACTGACATAATGCACGCCCTAGGCGTTACTTTAACCATCAAAACCCAACCTAACATGTGCCCCAAACAGTCCTGTGTCAGATAAGCCAAGCCATAATGTTCTCTCTTCCAAGGTCTAAAACTGAAGTGGTCCTCAAAAAGATAACCACACAAGTACAGACACAGCTGCCAAGGAGAGAGGGCTTTATTTTGACTGCTTCTCTTCACAAAGCCCTACACTGCAGCGCGGGTGCCAACGCGCAGCAGCTGATTGAAGACCTCCACAATCACGCTGATCAGCGCCAGTCGTGATTGAAAGAAACCTCTAAATAGTAGCTACAGGGTCAGTGCAAAACATAGCTAATGACAGTGTAATGTAATACGGTGTGGAGGAAGGGAGGGATGGAGGCTTGCAGTCCGTTCAGCTGCAAAGCGCGTGGAGCTTAGAGAAACACCGGAGGCTGAGGGGGGGGTAATGGTGCTGGTATAAAGACATTGTGTTTGTCCTCTCCAGCTGTCACTGCAACCCAAGACAATCCAGTACTCACACTCATGTTCTGCCATTATGTGTCCTCACGCTGAAAACAACCACACAGACACACAGTGTAAATCCTGTGTGGAAGACCACTCCTCCGTTTTCCATAAAGCGTGCCATGGGAGAGACGGTGACGGAGCACACACACCAACAGGACTTATTATACACGAACGCATCACTCACATCATGAAACCTTCTGACCCCCCCCGCCAAAGTCTCTCTCACACACACCCGTGTACATTTGCTGATTCGGCATGGTCAGCTGGTCCTCGCCAAAGTGAACCAACTAGCAGGAGAGGGAGTGAACTGGCAGCAGGGGTGTTGGAGGCGCAGTAGTGGGAGGAGGTCGAGGGGGATTTCATTTGAACTAAAGGGGGTTGGGCTCTATATAATTTTATAAGCTTTGAGCCTTCTTTGACCGCTTCGCCTAATTTAACCCTCGAGCATGCAGCCAAATGTTTTATCTGTGCAAAACACTGAGTGACTTGTTGATAGTCACAGAATACTCTGCATTTAAGAGTCTTTGTCATGAAGGAGTGTGTTTGTACATCCCGACTAACAACACAAGATAAATTCAGTCAACCTGCTTATCCTAACCTGCGCTCTCCATATCATAGCAGGGCAGAGAGGAAGTGTTGACAATCCTGAGAGAAGAGGGCCTGAAAAAAATAAAACCCCCGAGTTTGACCGGCCTTGCCAGATAACTGGCGACCCATCAGAGTGCAGAGTTCAAGCCAACATTGTACACATTACAGCCTAGCAGCAGTGCAACACATAGCAGCTAGCCAGGAGGGTGGAGGAAGGGGGAGGAGGCCATACAGCAACAGTGATTGCTTAGTTTTTAGTCCAAAACAATATAAGCAGTAAGATCATATCAGTCCCCTGGCTGGAAATGGGGCAAAGGAGACACTAGTTTGTATATTTTGGAAAGCTGGCCCTCCGTTGCTCCCCCTTTCCACAGCATGTCCATAGATAGTCAAATATCTGCTGTAATTTAGAGCTCAATAAATAAGCTGACAGTGACAGCATTTACCGGTAAGGATGTTTTAAATAAACCACACTAATCATCAGCAGCCATTCAACAACACTTTCGGTCACAGTGAGAAAGTTCTGGGTTTCAATCTCCTGGTCAGGTGGGCCTTTTGGGAGTCAGCTTTGCATATCCACAGCCAAAATGCAAAGACTAAAGCACAGTATGAACGCATGGGGAAATATAGCTTGTAGCCTAAAGCACTTCCAGTGGTAACGTAGACAAAAGTGTTATGTAAATGCTCCTTCATTTTCATCTGTTCTGACTCAACAGATAATACAAGGACTGGTTTTGGCCGAGTGTGCCGAAACATCCTTCCAGTGCCTGTTTTTCCCCAAACAAACAGTGAATGAGTCTCTAACATGCTTCTTTAAGATGGTTGCAACTACTTCACAGGACATATCATGGATTAAAACTAGAATTACTCCCCCAAACCCCCATTAAAATTTGTTTTACACCTCTGGCAGAGAGCCTTCCATCTAAGCAGTTTCATCCAAATCTATTCAAAGCCACCGAGATACCGTGAAACCAAAAGGTGATCAGATGTGGAAGAAATCCTATACTCTATCCAACTGTGGGGAAGTTCAAAAGAAGAACACAGCTCTGTGGTGAGACAAACTCACCCTGCCCGTCAAGAAATAGCCAAATCTGTACGTCTGAATAAATAAGTTGAATCAATATCTCAGTTTTTAACCTCGGGCTGAGAGACCCATGTGGCAACCCTTCCCATAAAATAGTCCCATTCATCATAACCCTGCGAGCCTGAGAGCAAATAAGAAAGCAGGAAGGTAGGGATATGCATTAACAATAACCATGAGCGAAAGGAAAGAGTGTGATTTCACATTGCAAGCAAGAGGCTTCAGACTGTTTTCCTGTTCTAAAACAGCTCCTTGACCTACCTTACATATGACTACCTATTCTACAGCTGATGGCTGCAGATGGATGTGGATAGAGGAGATAATGCATAGATGAGGTAAAGAAGTGGCCCAAGCAAAGACAGGCTGCTTGGTTGGCTTATTTGCTCTGCAGCTGTGAGCCGCTTCAGCTCCAAACAGACAGAAGATAAGAAACACGGGAGGAGAAGGAGCGAGGACACTGCAGCAGGGTCTTCGATGCCCAATATCAGCGTTCTCTTTTCAAATGCATCTACGGTCCTGCTCTGAGTCTTTACCTCAGTCTCTTCCCATACAGCTGCTCAACCAAGACGTTTACCCAAAACACAGTGCTATTCTCAGAGTATCTGTTGAAGTATGCTGGTTTGCATGTCATGCCTGATAATTGGCCCGAGCAGCCAATTAACAGCCTTAATTCTCAGAAGGAGATTCACTTTGAACATCTCATCTGAGAAGCTGACAGGAAGTGCAGCTGATTTTTCTTTTGCCAGGCAAAACCCCCCAAAAACGTATAAAACACTCCCCTTGTTATTGTCGCATCATAGACAGTGAAGATCAGTTTCCTCTTTCTATGAAAATCTTTGACTGTGACCTGAAAAGCTGCCTTGAGGAAGGAACGAGTCAGAGAAAGAGCACGCCCACCCTGCCGATAATGACAAGCGAGGCGAAGTAAATCAGGTCAATGCAAAGACCCTGAACAGAACAAATCATTCTGTTCTCCCTGTGCACCTCTTCACCGTCCCCACAGACCTTATCCTCTCTCACACATATGCAGGACAAGGAAAACGGCCCCGGCACCGAGCAGATTCCACACAGCACAGCAGATCTGTGAGACTAACAGGTTCAGATCCAACCGACTCCCCTTTCTCTTCAATTGTTTTTAATTCTCGTCCTTCTGGTTGTTGCAAACTGTAATACAGATATATTTCAAACAACTCTTAGGTGATCTTAGCACAAGGACATTTCAAGAAGCCCACCGAGCCACGTCTCAGAGATGATTACTGCACCAGTGGCCCAAACAGGAAGAGGAAGAGAACACACTGCCAGGGCTTCAGGGGATGGTTATAACCGTCTACCAGAGCCTCACACTCACCTCTGCTCACAGCAGGCTGCGCCTTCAAAGCGGGGGGGCATTGCAAGGAAAAGGGCTGTGCCTGCTCTTGATCTGGCCCCTTCAATATTCCATGTTTTTTGGAGGGTTTTTTTCCTCCCCTCTACCCTGCTCTTGTTTCTCTGTGACACAGCCAGAGGGGGAAACATGACTCCAGCAGCTCAGCCAGGCACACTGCAGTCAGGTTAGGTTTTTTTTTTTTACACTCTCTTCTATTGCTACTGCAAGGCTAACAGAGAACATGTACAAATTCTGTAGCATATTAGGAAGGTGCAACTACAAAGTCAGCTTCTTGATCGCAAACAGTGTCTGTCATCTGATTGTCAAGTGCTTTAAAACAAAAACAGGCAGGCCCGGGCAAAAACCAAAGGGCAGCTCTCCTCTCTCATAACAGCTGTGAACATGGGGTCTGTCAGTCGAGAAAAACGCTTCACTGAAAGATTAAAGGTATTTTATTCTAGAGTATTAGCTGCAGATCCCTCATTTACGCTATGACCTCAAGTAAGAAAGTTGACACAGCCCCTCCACCCAACCTTCAAAAGACCTGTGCCACTTGACACATAGTGAGAGATCTACAAGTCGCCACAGGAAACTTTCCTGCGAAGCATAATTAGATGACGGTATCTGTGGACATAAATAGTGAATGCTGCATCTTTTGCTGCTTTTGAAGTGGAGGGCAAAAAACAAAAACCTCCTCCTGGAGAGTACAGAGCTACGATCAGTGAAATGCTTTAGGTTATTCCAACACAGAGGTATTAGAAGCAGTACAAATATACAGAAATGTAGCAAATGGTGAACAAACTATTTTGTTTCAGGCAAAGTAAAAATGTCTCTCTGTCATACGACTTGGTGACCTGGCCGACCCCGCCTCATGTCAGTGTGTTCTAGAAAACGTTTGGCAAAATTAAAAATGTCTGGGCTGTTTCACTTGTGGCTAATGGTTACGGTTTTCGGCAGACATTAAATGTACTGCCGACAGCAAAATTAAACCCACAGCTTTAAATACACTTGTGGAAGTGCTGCACTTTGTGATGCAAACTGTAGCGTTTGCACGTGTTCAGGGTGGGACACTAGCTTAAAGTCCTTACAGAAGCAATTCTTGCCACACTAGCCATCTTAAAAACACTGATTGTTAAAGCCTGAACTTCAGTGCTCACCTGCACATAAAACATTGCACTTTTATATTTGAACCACCAGTCAAAGGTGAATAAAACTAATTCCATCTGCCTTCTTGCATCAATTCGGGACTATTTGAGTGCAGTGCCTCTTTCATGACGTCTCTGACTGTCACAGCTGTTAAACTTTGCTGAATTTGTATTGTGTCCATGTTCTGTAACTAATTTTAAAGGACTGCAATTCAAGTTCAAATCATCAACAAGTCGCTGCTCACTAGATAAATCTGTGAATACGCAAACATCTAAGGTTCTGCAGCAGTCACACTCGATACGTGATACTATGCTTCCTATGATTTGGGCTGGTGAGTAAGCTGTTAAAGCCGTGGAGTGTTTTTAGCTGTGTGACTCAAATCTTATCCCCGGGGACAAACAGATGTGAGGAGAAAGAAGAAGAAGAAAAAGCAGAGTGAGAGTCAAACACTCATTACACTCAGTGTAATCTACACACAGTTTCCTGCACTGAGAATATTTTTAAACTCTCTGCATTACCCAAGTTTTCATATTTAAGCCTCACGGTGCAATATTAATGCAACCTTTAACATTTTGCAAGGTGTTAAAAACACAGCAACATTTATCACCTTTTTTTCTAACCGCAAATTACATCCTCAAACTTTGTCAGTTTTAAATAAGATAACACTATCTTGCTTTAGTTTATCTTTTGCTGCGAAATGACATCGTCAATGCTGCTATCAGTCTGTGGTTGAATGGGGTCAAGTTGCCAATACGATGCAATCAGTTTCTGATAATACAGCAATTACTGTGATAAATTGTCAAAAATAAATAAATAAATAAAATATCACACACATATAATTCCATTTGCACTTAGATCTTGGCCGTTTGCCTGCATTTATAAATTAGACATCAATTATTTCTGAGAGTGATTGCCGTCAGTACAACTCAGACTGCAAACATTTGCAGAAAGAGTGCCTCCTTTAACCTGTGCAATCACCTCGCCACCAAAACTGGTCGTGAGCGTGCAACACCACGAGGGTACGGGCAGCCTAGTCGCCAATCAATCGGTTGCAGAATGTACAAAAAAAAATAATTCAATCACCAGACAGCCACCGTTTTTATGCTTTGATTTGTAGTTGCAAGAAGGTTGCGGCCCTATTTCTACTCCTGTGACTGAGCCATTAGCTTAATTAGGAGATAATTAAGTTTGTCCAGTGTTGGATGGTTTTTCAGTTGAGCTGATTTAATGCAAGCTTCCTCAGCTAACATTACCACAGGATGGTGGAGCATGAGATGTGCCCTCTTGTTTCCAGTATTCCCAAAATATTTGATATCATTTAAGAAAATATCAATACTTGGTGTCCCTGTATCGCTTCAATACTGCCACAAAAAATACTGATGCTATGCTGTATTGATTCTTTCCCCCCACCACTACTAATTAGCAGTCCTTTTCAGGTAGTGTCGTTAAATCCCCAAGCACACCTTGACCTTTCTCAGCACCTAGTATGGGAACCACTGCTCTGGCCAACTCAGCTGTTCATGTCCCAAGACCACAGCTTACTACAGGCCAAAGTCAGTAAACGTCAGAGTCTCAGAACCTAAACGGATTCCTCACATGAATACACAGAAATGTCAGAGTCAGCAAATGGGTGTTAGCACCAGCGAGTATATGAAAGTCACAGGTCATGGTCAGCTTATCATTATCAGGCACTGTGTGTTTACTTCTGCACCGTGTGTTTACTAAAGCAACCAGGACAGTTATCTAATCCTGTGTGAGTGACACTTCAATACGTCTCGGTCCACTCTGTGCGTGCCCGCCTGCATGCATAATGTGTTCGTCATGGTGTGCCTTTTTCAAAGAAACACCCATGTGAAATAAACGCCTGACTCAGCCAGGTTGCACGTGACGTCAGTATCAGCCCCGCTTCAGATGAACAGGCCTCACAGCGAATCATAACTCTTTGTTTGTTTTGGGAACACCAAAAAGAGGTGGTTCTTTCCCTCTCCTCTTTTTTCCCCTCCCTTCTCTCTTCTGAATATTGCAAACTGGTCGGATAGAAACCCAGCACAGAACAATGAGTCACAGCCATGCGGCAGATTTCACAGCCAAGCTGTGCATTCCTGGCCCAACAAAGGAATCCTGTACACGGCAACCACACAGACCCACTGAACACCGTCTACGGGAGCCTGGTCGGGCCCCTCCATTTGCTCTTACAGGCTTTAAAAAGAGCAGAGGCAAAATGAAGACTGCTTCTTAAGAACTGGAACTACAAAAAAAACCTCAGGACAGCTGAAGGGACAGTGTGCAAGAAGGGTGGTGTTACATGAGGTCTGCAGACAATATTAATCATTTACAGCTTAACAACTGTTGTATGGATACAACACAGGCTTAGCATTGGGAGGAAATAAAACCAAGTCATTGTAAAGCAATCGTGCAGAATTTGTTACTTTGCTTTTCTGCAAATTATATTCAGGTTTCAAGCAAACATTATTGTGCCACGTCAATAAAAGGCTTGTCATCTGTTTGTTTGTTTGTTTGTTTTTATACACAGTGAAAAAAATTAAATTAAATAAAAACAAAAAAATCTGAAGCACAGCTACTTGGGGCTTTATTGCACTAAACATAAACAAAGTAATGAATCCAATCGCCCTCCAGGATGAGCATCACAGCACCAAAAACAATAAATAATTTCCCCCAGGGATCAATAAAGTATTCTGATTCTGACTCCAGTGAGTTGCAACGTTTGAACGTTAGAATTAGAAAACATGACATGCCAATATAAATACTTGTACTAGAACTTTAAAACACTACTTAATGGTCAGTACTCAGGGGGTTAAAGGGCAGAGAAATGGCACACTCAAACATCAGCCGCAGAAATCTTCTGAAGACGGAAATACGATGGCGGCGGTTTATAATCAGCACAAATTCTGCTAAACAGGAACAAAACCAACGCATCTTTACTCTCAAGGGAGGAAGTAGACGAGAAAACAAATTATGAGTCACTACACAAGTTAGACAAGTTAAGGCTGGAAGCCATTTAGGTTAGTACCATGCATGTATGTATGGTACATTTGAATAACCAACAAAAAAAAAAAAGTACTCAAGCCAGAGCTGCTGAATTGTAATGATGAACACAAAGAAAAGGATTGAATTAGCGAGATAGAAGATGAGCTTAACTATCAAGGTAGTGCTGGAGGCGGTTATGCTCAACAACCTTTTGTTTCAGGCCAACAAAAAAGTAACTCGGGCACATGTAAGATCTGTAAGAGACCTAATCTGTGTTTTGATGAAAAAATATGCCCAAGCAACAAAGTTCTCATGGAGTCTTGTTGGTTTAAAGTTAAACAAAGAAGTATTTGTCACAATAACGCTAAACAGGGGGGCAATTAGCCAAGTTAACGTTATTAACTATTACCTGCTGCTGGTGGAAACGGTTACATGAAGGGTGAGGTTGGTCGCTTGGTTGCCCTGTATGATCAAATTACTGAAATATACAGTAAAACTAACCAGTTAAAGAACAATAGACGGACTGCTAGCTAACATTAGCCACTCACCTTAAAATAACCACCCTCGTAGTGTGTATTCGGGGGTCCGAATATCGCTACTTCCCAGTTGTACAGGTCCGACTCGTCCACCAAAGTTATTTTGAACCCTTCGACCGGCTCATCTTGGAGACTTTTCATCTCCAGCATTAATGCTTTTTGGGAACTGGCTACATGATGTCTATTCTGAGCCATATTCCACGGCGATTTTTATATATAAAAAAAAATATATCAGCGACCCACCACAGCTGTGACTGCGAAGGACAAAGCTAGCTCGTTACAAACAACAGCTAACAGTAGAAGAACGGAGCTCGTCACGCAGGAACGGTTGGTTTCCGTTTGTGTGCGGTGCCAAAACGCGGCTGGGCTTTATTTGGCCGGAGCTGGTGCGCCTTCCTCTCTGTTGTTGTGAACAATCCAACGGAGCCCCAGTTATTAACGACCATGAACCTACCGTTATCAAGTCGAAGGCATTACTTGCCTTATTTCCGGTGACATTCTTCAAAATAAAACTCTAAAGTATCAGTAGCCCATATCAGACAGCTGTGACCCCCCGCCCCCCTTCCTGAATTCTTTTTTTTTGTTGCTAATTTTTCAAACTTGTCTGTTTGAGATCGTCAAACAAATTTGTGATATTATGTCATTAATAAAAGAATATTATATTTATCATAGTTTAACCCATATAAATACAAAACAAAGTTTTTAAAAGATGCTTTCATTTTTCAAATCACAAGAGCAGTCGCTTCAAGGCACTTTATTCTGTAAGATAAAGACCCTAAAATAATACAGAGAAAACTGTAACAATGAACCACCCCCTGTGAGCAAGCACTTGGTGACAGTGGGAAGGAAAAACTCCCTTACAACAGGAAGAAACCTCAGGCAGGGGTATCCATCGAGTGGTTGGGGGTGAGAGAAGGAAAACAGAACAACACAAACATTTGTGTTTGTGCCAGAGATTAATAATAACTACTGATTAAATGCAGAGTGGGGTGTAAACACATAGTGAGTGAATAAGGTAAGTGAAGAAGAAACATTCAGTGCATCACAGGAAGCCCCCAACAGACTATTGGCCTGTTGCAGCATAATTAAGGGAGGAGTCAGGGTCAGCTGATCCAGCCCCAACTAAATGCTTTATCAAAAGTTTTAAACCTTGAAAATAGAAAGGGTGTCGGTCTACAGAATCCAACCTGGGAAATGGAATTGACCTGGGTGACTTGTTGTAAATGATAGACCCATGAATTCTGCTGTCTGCCAGAAAATCCTGAAGGAGAATATCTCACCAAGTCCACCTTTGAAAGGAAAATTAAAGTTTTGATTTTGTGGTTGCCTAATCAAAGTCCAGGTCTGATAAACTTACTTTCTCATGACCAAAATTCCTCCACAGCAGTGTGAAAGACTCATTGCCAGTTTTCACAAATGCTTGATTGCAGATCTCACTGGCTGGCACAAACAGTTATTAGGTTACTAGCTCTTTCACACAGGGCAGGTTTGGATAGCTTTTCTCCTTTAATAAATGAAACCATCATTTAAAACTGCATTTTGCATTTGTTTAGCTTGCCTAACATTTCTTTAAACTGAAACATGTTAGTGAGACAAATATGCAAAAAAAAAAAAGAAAAAAAAAATCAGGAAGGGGGCCAATACTTTCTCACAGCACTGCACAATTTACCCCTCTCTCTTTTGACCTTTACCCTAGTTGCACTCTCTCAGGTAAACAACTTCTTAAGACCTTACAGTTAGGATGTTCATTGTTTATGATGAAGGTAGAGTCTTTATTTTTAGGTTTTGTGTCGTTTAATGTACTTCTAGTTAAACATACATAAGTGTCCATTTTTGCTTGCTCTTAGAGAAAAATACAGTTCGAATCGCGAGTTTTGTTTTGAAAGTCTATACCGGAAATTCATTTTGATCTCGGTTATCTTTGCTACCGAAAGCTTGTCAGCCTCCTCTTTTTATCGGGTGCCTTAAGGAGGAAAGGGAGGTTGGCCAAGCGGCAATTTCGATAAAACAATCAATTTTTTCATAAAACTTCAATCTGAGGCTTTGTCTGCTCAACTTTTCTCAACTCAGCTGCTCGCTGTCAGTCAGGGGTCTCGATTACTTCTGCTGCTAGGCTTTCTGGGAATTAAAGTTCAAAGCGGCACATCTTGCTTTATTGATAAAGAGACAGGTATTAATTTGCCAAGAACATATCTTCATCTACACGTATACACTCCAGGTTTCTATCATTTCATTCAAAACTAGTTTTTCGTATGCTTATTGGCTCACTTTAACACGCACACACACACACACACACACACACACACACACACACACAAAAGGACTACAGCATCTTCTTACAGCTTTTATTTTTTATTTTTATTTTTTTGTTGAGTGGAATTTCTTTGAAGGAAATGTAATTTATGTTGTCCCCTTCTGAATATGACATTGTAGAGTTGAATATGAAGAAATAAAAAGACAGGACCTTCAAAAATCTGTCATATGAGAGTATATTTCAATGTCACAAGCCAAACTTGGTAGATTAAGTCACTACAGCTGAACCAACAGAGCATTAAGACAGAGCGGGTTTGCCTCTCAGTACACTGCTTCACGTAACCTGTTCTACTGTTATTGTGAGCCCCATGTCCTCAGTGGTGCGACACCAAACAGAACCCCCTTCCTTCCCCTGTGACTAATAATTTTAAAACATTCAATGGTATCACTTCTTTTAATTGTCTGCACTTAGAATAGATAAAAACACAATACCATCAAAAATAGAGAATGGTCAAGAAAACCTCATTTAAAAAAAAAAAGTAGGAAAAACAAAAGAGAAAATGGAATGACATCTTTGTCTGTGAAAGCATGACCATGGGAAAGAAACAAGGAAAATAAAAGTGTACATTCCTAATCATGCAATATACAAATTTTAATCTAACAGTATGCACAGAATGATCAGTATTAGGACAGCGTGTGATTAGAGAAGTCGTTTCTCAGATTCATGGATATCATTTTCAGGAACAGGGAGCGCGTACATAATTTTTTTCTACTGACGTTCCTGAAAAACAGCTGATCACCTCTGATTTCAGACTACTACTGAAAATCTAGTGGAATGGCTGACTTGACCTTCAGGCCAGACATCATTATATTTCTTATCTACAATAGCAGACAAATGCAAGAGAGGAGGGCCTTACCAGTATATATATGAACAGAGACGCTACCAAGTCTTTTTTCCCTTTCACTCTTGCTACTACAAGGATCAGTTGAAGTGGACGGGGTGGTTGCTTTAAACATGAATGATCCAAATGAAGACATCAGAGTTCAGCAGGAAGTCGGGTGTTGTGTTTTCTTTAAAGTCTCTCCTAACACACACATACACACAAAGTAGCAAGGCAGTTTCTGGAGGGAAAAAGAAACATGGGGGGGATTTATATGGGTGGGTCAGCTGGCTTTTTCTGTGATGCATGAGAGGGAGACGGGCGCAAATACTTCACATGAGGACAGACAAAAACCACACAACTGCTGCTGCTGACAGAGGCGACGCTTCCTTACTGTGGAAGCCGTGTTGATTAATACTGACTCACAGGGCGCCTCAAGCCACTGACCAGTTAACAGCGCCCGCTTAGTAGTAAAATGACTTTTAGCAATCTCATATGCAGACCAGCAGTTTTAAAAGAAACAGTACAGGCAGGCTGAGAGTATAAGTGTGGTGTCCTTTAACTTGTCACAGGTTGTCTTCCCCCCCACAGAGGACAGTGATGTCAGCTCTTTACGTCAGATTATTCCGTGAACACGTTGGCCAAGTGACGACTTGCCTTCAGACAAAGAACAGCATCCTGCTTTACAATATTATTACATCTTCTATACAATAACTAAACCATCCATGCGTGGTAGAACACAGGTGGCTTTGTCAGGTGTAATAGAAACCTCACATTGCACTGGATTTGCAAAAGGAATGATATGTTCAAAGTCCTTGGGGAGGGTCAATCTGCAGTTTAGCACTGTTAGATCAGTGCACTCAGGGGAGAGGTGGGGGCTCTACAAGACTTATGAAGTGCCGGAGTAGGTCAGACTGCAGGGCTAAGGCACAGAGCAAAACTACTGAACTACTGTACAATCACCCGTAGAGACACAAGGATTCGGTTCAACTAAACACCAGCAGATCTGCTCTGAGCCTCGCCAAGAGGCAAGTAGGGCAAAAGCACCCCGATACAAGCTTAAAACCCATGCCTTATTTGTAGCTTTGGTTTCACCTCTGCTCTCCTCTCACTGCACTTGCCCAGTGTCTGGTCTTCTCCAGGCACCAGGTCAGTGGTGGGTGAGCAGGTTATAGCGCCCATCTAGTCCGAAAAAAGAGTCAATCACCTGATTTATCTTTTTTCAAGGCCTACACAGATGAGCAGCACACACAGATTTTAGTGAGCAGTAAAGAAGGGGATTACATGAAGGCGCAGTCAGGTTTCAGACAAAGATAAAGAAAAAGAAAAGACAAAACAACAAAACAAACCAAAGACAAAAACGTCAAAACAGTAAAAATACAATTCAACCATTAACAGCAAAAGTCCAGTTGTCAACATTACATGACGCGACCGTCACAGATTGAATTCCCGACAGAGTGGAGGGCGGAAAGAGACGCAGGAAAGAGAAGAGGACGCCAGGCGTCCAGAAACGGGAGCTCAGTTAGAGTCGGGGTGCAACAGGGCGGCTGTTCGAAAACTAGGAAGTAAAAATGAAAATGACACTGCAGAGAAGATGAAGCATGTACACAATGAGTCTGTAAAGCAACATCAAGTGTGAGGGAGTGACCACAGAGTGCAAAGAGGGGCAAAGTGTGGGGCGCTGGAGAAGCTGAGAAGGGGAAAGAAATCTTGCAAATCTGCAGACTAATAAATAGGGCGATACTGGAAGTGCCAGTCGCAGTGTTTCGTAACGTGATTATGTTGTGTTTCAGTGAGGGAGGGGCGGGATGGAGCGGTAGGGTGGGGGTGGGGCACCCTTCGGCTGTCAGACACAATCAGCACTGAGAGAAGGTCTGCTTGATCTCATCCAGCACATTCCCAAGCAGCGTTGGCTCGTCACATTTAGCGTCAATGGACACAGTCTGACCAGACTGGGAGAGAGGGGGAGAGAAGTGGGGGACAATGTCAGCATCACCACCTGAAAACTCTTTTCATCTTCGGTTTTAACTCAGATTTATGTTATTGTCGCTTACAGTTTTGACCAGCAGACAGACATGGTGACCCTGGATAGACCTGCTGTACATGGAGGCACAGGAGTCGATCCTCTCCACAACTAATCAAAGACGAGAAAGAAGCACAATCACAAATGCAGCGCATCAGAATTAATACACTTTTCAAACATTCCCCTCTGATGATTGTAATTTCCTGCATGTGAAGTAGCACAGGTTTCAGGTCCCCCGAAAAAAGTGATAATGTAAAGGTACCAGAAAAGTGGTGGTGGAAGCAGATCCTGGCCAGAAGGTGATGGAAGGGCATGTTAACTCCCTCCAGTCTGACAGAGCTGCTCTTCAGATCTCCCGACTCCAGCAACTTTGCAAACGCATCACTGAGAGAGCAAAAGAACAAAAAGAAGTCAGTTTTAGATTTCTCCATTACTAAAATCTAACGAAGATTCAACAGATTTTAATGATTCCCAGACCGTGGTTCTTGATCTTTTTAATTTAAAATTTCACACAAGCTCTATCTTAAAACAAGTACAAGTGAAATTTACTGATATTTATTCTTCCTCAAAGATGGCCATTTTCTACTGCCACGCTTAAACCACAGTCTCACCACTCAGTCTACAAACTCTCCCACTCCAAAGATTTCTCCCTGGAAACACTTTGAGAGGAGTTTCAACAGCTTCTTTAAAAAGTTTAAATGACTCACTGAAACTCTGATATGAATGGAGGAGTGGCATAACCAACCTGTAACAAGGAGTAGTGATCAGGTAGGAGGTGCAGGTAAAGTGCAGTTTGAAGTCCAGTTTCTCATGAGTGGAGGAGTCCTCGTTCTGTGGGAATGGAGCAAAACGGCATATTAAAAACACCTGTTTGATTCCTTCATAGGTCTCGGAATTAACTCATCTGCTACTAGGCCAACTCTAGTATCACAAATACAAAAGATTAATTAATTAAGCCACAGGTTTAATAATAACGTATGAAAAATCCTGTCAATCTTGTTTGCGTTTCATTTGGATTTCAGATTTTTCATTAGATTTTGTTTTCTTTTTAGTATACACGGCACTTGTTTGCTTTTCCTACGAACCTTTACAATAAAGGTGAGGGTTCCTTTCAGCTTCTGCGGCATTACGATGCTCTGCACAGTGAAGACAAATCGTGCTTCATTGGACACTCCTACAAGAAAAAACAGAAGCTCTCAGCATCAAATTGTGGAACTCAACAACTTTAAAAACTCATATAATACAATTTTTTAAGTTGCTGCTTGAATCATCTGTAACTCAGTAAAAAGGATGGACATTTATTCTGAAAAGCCCCACTACAATTACCAGGAAAATGCTTTATTTTTTTAGTAAGCCAATATTATAGCAAAGGATAAGTATGATGCCCATTTCCAACCCCATATTTTCCATCTTGGGTTATGCTAGACTAGCTTTACATGGTTTAAGTAATACTAATTTATCTTATCCTGGGCCTCAGATAATAATCTGCCTGAACAAAAGAAACAAACAAAAACTCTTTCAGCTCTATTCAACCTCAGTTTAAGCTAACTTACTTCTGATTGGATGCCCCTCCAAAATATGAATACTAAATATTTGAGGGGGGCTATGGGCTTTTAATTCACAGTCATGGATGGATGGATTCATACACGATTTTTCTTTAGATAATAACTGACCAGGGGGAAGCTGGAAGGGGACGGTGAGGCCATCATGTGGACCTGACCCTTCTGGCCTCTGCAGCTTGGAGTTCAGAGAGTCCAGCACATTGAACTCCATGGATTTGAGGAAGCTGTCACTCTTATTTTCAAAGATGACAGACACCACCACCTGACTGCCATCCTGTAGGTTCCCCTGGATGTCACACACCTTACGGGGAAGAGGGAAAACAAGGAAAGTGCTAAACGTGGATTTTGGAACAGTGAATTACGGTCTCATCTTTCCTCTCTTTACACAGTGTTAACAAGGCAAATCAGAGTCATTACCCAGATCCAGAGCACACATCACCATTTCCAAGAAGTGAACACAAGGAGATAATCACAAGGACAGAATCATTCTCAGAAACTGAGCGCTGCTGCGCTAGAGAAACATAAATTAGTCTGCCCAAGGAGGAAGGCCTGTAAAGAGCAACGAGACCAGAGAGAAACACATCTAGGACAAAACTTTAACCAATACCTGATCAGCATCCTCCATCATCTTTAAAGAGAGGAAGAGAAAAAGAAATCTGTATATGATAGTTCTTTTTGGGTTTTTTAACTCTAATTACTCCACATGCTGGATCTTGGAAACAACAACGTTTCTCTTTCTCAGCATCTAGAAAGAAATGTGCGCTATAATGTAGCAAGAAAATTATTTTATTTATCGTCTCACTAAAGTAAACAGAAGAACCCAACATGTCGAAATAAAGCAGAATATTTATCACAATCTGGTTCCCTTGGTGCATTTTAATTAACAATGCAAACTATCAGATTGGAGAAGGCATGAGCAGCTTTGGATGCTAAAAATTAAATTCGAAAATTAAATGTTTCCATGGCCAAAATGAGACCGGAATTATTTTAACAAATTGAGAGCAAAACAAATTTCCAAAGCCTGGCATCGCAGTCACCATCACTCACCATCTTGATGTAGGAGTTCTCAGCCAGCAGGCAGTAATTGGACATGGGCTGAAAGGAGAGAAGAGCTCAGGTCAGAGGAGGCGTTCTCAGCCACTAAGCATGCTAACTAGGCAACAGGAGCTCCTACCTAGCTGCTATATAACAAGGAAGGCAGTGTGTGCTGGCAGCAGTAAGTGGGTTTACCCAGTGGAGCTCAGATGAATGATGATAAATTATACTGCCTACATGCGGCTTTGAGTTATTCGTGTCTTTGAGGTCAGTAAGCTTTTGTTTGTCTGTTTTCAATCGAAGAGGAATGACACAAAGATGCCAATTTAATTTTTACTTCACTCATATCATCTCTACTTTAACATCCATCAAATGCTAAAACCAAAGAGTGCTGAACATGTTTTGTTGTACGTATCAATATGGTATTGTACATACCTATACATCTATATCATCAATTCCTCATGTATATACTGTATAGTAACCAGTTATCCATCCCCAGCTTGGTAAATGTTTTATTCCAAGATCTTGGCGCACTGCACATTTAAATATGCTATACAAATTGCTATTGTCTGTGTCGTGCTTTTATCAGTAATGTTTCTTATCTATTCTGTTAAGTAAATTGAGAGCAACGAAGAAAAAGAATGAGCCTAATTCTTTGTACGTGTACATTTTGCTGTACCGATTCTGATTTAGGAAACCTAACCCATAGTTTACAAATTAAAAATAATGATCGGTTAAGTTTAATGTTGTGGTTGTTCGACACTGACCGGCAGAGGCTCCTCCTCCTCGACGGTGCCATTCTGCACAGACTCCTCTCCACCTCCATCGCTGTGGTGGTGGTGGTGATGGTGATGATGCTTCTTTTTCTTTTTCTTCTCCTTCTCTTCCTTCTCTTTTTTCTGCTTCTTCTTCTTGTGTTTGGAGGACTTCTATAGAGAAAAACCAAAGAAGGAGAAGGAGATAAATTTCCTGAAGTGGTGTTTAATCGCCATTGAGTGTTAATGCTAATGAAAATAAAACACAAAGTGGCAGAATTACTCCCCCAGAGCCCACAGAAACTGGCAGGTCTGCGACACATCGTTCACACAAATGTATCAGAATTAGAGTTGCCAATTCCCCGAGTCCAGTCGGGGTTATTGTAAACTGGAATCTCGAGCGGTGCTGTCAAACTTTGTTCCTTCCAACTATTGCCTCGTCTGCGTTAACTCACACTCTCCTCCGTCTCGGTGTCTTTGGGCTCCTCGGGCTCAGAGTCGGCCGCTGTGCCAGCAGGCGCCTCGGGCGCTGGGGCTGCTTCTGCTACTGTTGCTGCTTCCTGTTCAGATACACCAGCACGCCACCAAATAAACACACAAACAAGAACAACCACAGCGTTTAACACATGCAAAACTTTCTACCACTTCTGTGTTGACATAGGTAAGTGAGGTTAGTGAGTTCACTCAGTCATTCATAAGAGAAGTCATTCATGATCACCTGCAACCTACTGAGCTGAGTGACACCACAAACAAACATCAGGTACAATGAGCCAAGAGTATTGCATGGAAGAATGCTAAACATGAGCATATCATGTTTGTATGGACCTCTACACCTACAGCGGTTTTGCTGTACAACTGCTGGATCCACTGCACTAAACAGCTACACTGGGTGCTGCTCGAAACTGAAGCAGGCTGACTGACAAGCTAAATATATGCAACAGCATGATCTGGGACGCTGGTGTGACAGCCAGAACAAAAACAAGCGTTCCACGAAGACATCGATGCATATTACTGGGGCAGCTTTAACTCTTGGGCTGACAGTTCAAATGATTAATAACAGAAATGCCCAAAGGGAAAGTTAAAAGGCCTGACAGATCTGAGCGTACAGTCATGTTACATGTATAGCTAAGGAAACAGTGCGCCTGTTATTCAGTCTTTTCATGGAACAGTCAGGATGAAATAGTGGAGCAACTGGATAGCTTAGCTTATTTAAACAAGCTGGAAATGGTGTGAGAGCGCTGTCCTGGCATGACCACAGGCCACATAGATTTAATTTAAAACAACTGAGAAAGTAATTTTCCTTTTTTTTTTTTTAAATGAAAGAAAACAGTCATCAAAAAGTCTATTAGTAAAGGTGAAGTTTAGCAGCTGATTTGGGAAATTCTACTTGGTTTTCAAACAGAAACAAAGATAAGTATGGCCCCACACTGAAGGGATAATGGAGAGTGGATATTGTGCTCATACAGTGGTGACGTAAGAGGAAAGGACTCTGGGCCAATTTCTGGGGAGCCGTTTACCCCTCTTCCACCACTGCGGTGCTGGTGTCCAACCTAGAACCATGAAAGGCTATCCCAGCAATAACTGTTAGCTGAAGCTCACATATCCTGTCTACCACTAAAATGACTCCAGCTTCTGTTTGGTGTGTGTGTGTGTGTGTGTGTGTGTGTGTGTGTGTGTGTGTGTGTGTGTGTGTGTGTGTGTGTGTGTGTGTGTGTGTG